TGGCTGGGGAATTCTGGGAGTTGAAGTCCACATATCTTAAAGTTGCGAAGGTTGAGGAGCACTGGACTAGATAACTCTTGTGGTCCTTCCAGTCCCACAGATCTATGATTCTACAACCTAGTTGATCTATGAACCTTCTTGAGCCAGGAGATCAGATGACCAAGAGCAAGTCTCTAGTGCCATATTACAGGTTATTCATTCTCCATGAAGTCCAGTAATTTTCCATTAAGTTATGGCAAGAAGTAAGTCCCAAACTGTTATATTCTTTTTTCTACTCCCTCCTTTATTTGCCCATCTTCCTTCTTGTGTTGAGCGTCTGCAATTCTGGTTGTCACAACTTAGTTTTTTATAGTGTGAATTTGATTTATAGACTGCTTCTGCCAAACCTGTGGATATAACAAAGTCCTCCCAGTGTATAGTTTTAACAAACATTGCTTGTAAGTTAAAACAATACATGTTATTTGTATTTTGTAAAATAATAGTAGTGGCACTTTTATTTAGGGTGTTCTTATAACTAAATGCAGTACAGGTAAATAAAATTTTTTAAAAATTACGTGATATAAACTAATATCAGCAATAAAACAATATAGTAATAAATATAAGACTTTTATATTTATGTGCTAATACCACATAATTAATATAAGAAATTTTATAATACTAGAACAACTTTAATATAAATCTCTACCAAATTGTGTGTATTTCACAACTATAGATAGAAACTGATGGAAGTTGTATAATTGGTAAGCATATGGTGGTATACACTATTTGTGTGTGTAGGCTGCTCCAAAGAAATCTTGGTATCTAATTGCATATACATTTTGCATATTGCATGACTTGTATGTATTTGCTAATATGTAGTCTGTGTAAGATTTGTATTCAGTTTGGTTCTGGAAAATATACACGAAATGGTACTCTTAGATCTTACTTACAGAACCTTGTCTTCTTAGGAGATGGCTGTCTTGAGGCAGTAGCATTTGCCTTGGCAAGGGATCCAATATATTTGGGTATCCTTGGATTCCAAGAATATTTTTGGACAAATGAGCTTTGTCCAAAAGCATGTTCTGAGTTCTTTCTTTATACTGTAATTATCTTTTTGGCCTGCCAGATATTAAAATATTTGTATGTAATAGACACCTGAAGATATTTAATTAATAACCTGGAAGAAATTGAACATTCTGATATAATAAAAGTCTTTTGTATAAGAATGTTTAGCCAGTCCACCTGTAACTCTCTTCCTTCCTCCCTGTCTCTTCATTCCCAGCTCTATTTATGTGTGTCTAAGAAACTGTAGAGGAACACAGAGATGAGCTTGCAGAAAATATGCAGCAACCATTAGTAAAATATGAGCTTAGCCTAGGAAAACAAAATAGCATGAGAAAAAAACTAAAGATTGCCCCACCTTGACTCTCTTTGGTGTAAGAGAAGGGGAAGAGGAAGCACTGTCAGGCTGTCAAGAGTCTCTTATTATAGTCTACTAATAAAATAGAGGTTTAGTATTTTTGTGGTGTCTGTTTCCTGACCTGGTTTACCCCAAAAGGCTGATAGAAGCATAGCAAAACTAGGTAGCCTTTTTCTTAAAAATTTATCTGTGAAATGGATATAAACAGAGGCAGTCGATTCATCAAAGTGACAAAAGCAATGTCATAGAATCATAGAGTTGGAAGGGACCTAACAGGTCATCAAGTCCAACCCCCTGCACATTGCAGGATTCACTATACTTCCCCAATAGATGACTATGCAGCCTTTGAAAATCTCCAGTGAAAGGGAAGAAACCAGTCCATGTAGTAGCCTATTCCACTGATTGACAGCTCTTATTATCAAAACGTTTTTCCTAATATCCTTGAAGTTTCATCCCCTTGGTTCTAATATGGCATACCTTCACAAAGCAAGCACTGCCCATTTTGTACATACATGTGATATCATGATGTGCATACAAAAGGGGTGGAGCTTGCAGTGCAATGGCAGAGCACTGCTTTCATCATTCCGCCCACCCCACCCCACCTTGACCCTCCTGCAGATGCTCTGGGTGTAGAGAAAATAAATCTCTGAAAAACAGTAGCTTTCCATTAAGGAGTGATAGTTAAATAATGAGAAGAGCTTAGTGAGCTTCTAAGATCCATATGTATCTAAGTAATATTGCCTTTATTCCCAACCTTGATATGTTCAAGTTGAACGTATAAATGCATTTATTTTTGCTCTCAAAAAAAAAAATTAAGCATGTGATCTTATACTTGTATGTTTGCGCACAGACATTTCTCATGTCTTCAGCTGAACCCAAGAAGGCAAGGAAATTATAATAGATTTAATCCAATCTCTAGATTTAGATTTTCTTTTCTTCTCTTTTCTCCTGGTTTTAGTTCCTTTTATCTACTACTTATTCATTTTCTGTACTTTGCATTGACTGATTATGTGGCATCAAGTTGGGGTCAGCTCTTAGTGATTACATAGATAGATCTATTCCAGGATGATCTGTCTCCAACCTGGTGCAGAGAGTAAGGAAGATTAACTTCATGGAGATATGCAGGAATCATTACCTAGGCAACTAGGGCTGAAGCATTTTTTAAGTCCAGAACGAGATAGCATTTGGAAGCAGTTCAAGCAAATGCTTCTCTAATTCACTGAAGTATAAAAAGGAAGAGGAAATACAGCACAGACTTGCAAGATTCTGTTGTTATAGCCAATCTCAATAAAAATAGTTTTAGTCTTCCTGAACTGGTTTACCTAGTGGGGCTGACACCTGGTTCTTCAGGTCTCCCAGTGGTACACCCATCACTGCTGAAATTGAGTCCATGTGCATTGCTGTTAGTTGTCCTTTTCTGTTTTTTCACCTTTCCCAACATTATGGATTTCTCAAGGGACCCAGGTCTTTGCATAATGTGTTTAAATTGTGCCTGGTCTTTTGTGTCTCATGTGAGAACTCTGGGTTGATTTGTTCTACCATCCATTTGTTTGTTTTCCTGGCTAAACCTGTTATTATCAGGAGTGTTCTTCAACACTAATGTTAAAAGGATCAATATTTTTTCTATCCTGCTTCTTCAAAGTCCAACTTTCACTTCCATAGAGGGAATGGGAAAACCATTGTTTGCATAATTCTGTTCTTTCTAGGAACAGACACATCGTGACATCTCCCTGTCTTTTTCAAAGTCTTCATTACTATCCTACAAAGTACTAGTCTACGGCACTTGACCACTGGTTCCCTTACTGTTGATAGTTAATCCTAAAAGGCAGGAACTAACTACAGGTTCAATGTCTTGATTGTACATTCTAAGTCTAGTTGCTGTACCTGTTGTCATTATTTTGGTCTTCTTTAGTCCCATTTTTTCACTGTGCTCCTTGATTTTCCTTATTAGAGTTTGCAGATAAATTACATTTTCAGTTATCAGAGTAGTGTCATCAGCATAGCACGGAATCCAGTTTTAAAAGCATGTTCATTTTCTTCCAGTCCAGTCTCCCTCAGTATATATTCAACATATAGGCTGAATCTGTAAGGAGAGGGTACATACCCTTGTCTCATTCCTTTGCTGACCTGTAGCCAGTCTGTTTTACCATGTTTTAACTGGACTGTAGCTTCCTGTCCTGCGTATAGGTTTCCCATGAGAACAATGAGTTGTTTTGAGATCTTCATTTTCCTAAGGACATCCCACAGCTTGACATAATCAATAAAACTGAAGGCCTTTCTATAGTCAATGAAGCACATATTGACTTCTTTTTGGTATTGTTGGCTTTTTCAATTATCCAGCTTGCATGAGCAAACTTCTGGTATTTCCCTTTCTACACATTGGCTGATCCTAACCATTATTTTCCTAACATGCAAAATTAAGGATATTGTGCAATAATTGGACACTCTGTTAAGTGTCCTTTCTTTGCGTTGATAAGTGGACTGACCTCTTCCAATCTCTTGACCCCTGGGACTTTCTCCAGATTTGCTGGCATAGCTTGGTTAACATTTTACTGATTCTTCCTCTATCGCTTGACATATTTCTATAGATATACCATCAATCCCTGGAGCCTTCTGACTTGGTAATGAGGGGAATGCTGATCTAATTTTATTTTCTAGTTCTCAGAAATAGAAAATATCTTGTAAGGTATCTTGGATGTTGACATCCCTTCCATATAGAATGTCATTGTACTCTTTCACCTTTGTTTGATCTTTGAATCAGTGCTTGCTTCAGAAAGGAATCGTTTCTCTTCCATGTGGTCAGGAAATGTGGCTATGTTTATACTTCAGCAACGCTTGCTTGCTTGCTTATTTATTTATTTATTTATTCGAATTTACTCAAAGAGCGACTCTGGGCAGTTTTGTAGCTACAAGGGGCTCATTCCATTCCATTCCACTCCATGTATCTGTTAAATTGATATCCTTTCTTTATGAGTTCATGGTGGCTTACTTGGGGCTCACCCTCCATGATCACCTCTTCAACAACAGTGCTGTGAATAGACTGGCTGGGGAATTCTGGGAGTTGAAGTACACATATCTTAAAGTTGTTGAGATTGAGAAACAGTGGGCTAAGCTGAGAGAGAATGACTATCCAGAGTCACCCTGTGAGTCTCCATAGCTGGTAATAGACTTGAACTAGATGTCTCTGGTCCCGTTAAACATCTTAACCATTGTACTACCCTGATTCTTTTGGCATTTCATTCTTACTTATTGTAAGTTCAATTCATTACTTTTTTCTTTAAAGTTTTTAAGAATTTCATATAAGAACATGGGAACTCAGTAGTTGCCCAGTTAAAATTTAGCATTAGGATGGAATTTGAAGCAAAATCCACTTGAAAAAAGAATTTGACAGATTTACCTTATAACTGTTCTGCTGTGTGTGTGGCTTAACAAGACAGAGATGTGTATGCACTTTCAAATTGTATTAATTTGATTAATTAATTAAGTTGTATTTATGGCTTGCATCGTAATGAAAATTAGATATTTGCATATCATTCGGATATACTGTCCATCATACAGACTTTTTTTTTTTTTTGCATTATTTCTGTTGCTTTTTCCCTAGGACTGTAAGAACATGGGATGTCACTAATGACAAAAAACACAAGACTGTGTTTAAACCACGTTCAGCTCAAGGCAAAAGGGTGATTCCAACAAGCTGCACCTACAATAGAGATGGTAAACTCATTGCAGCTGGCTGCCAAGATGGGTCCATCCAGATCTGGGATAGGAATATGAATGTAAGTAATCATGTTTTCATAATCCAAAGTGACGGTGTGAAATGCTAAATGAATTCCTTGCTCGGCTGCCAAATTTTGCCCAGTTTTAATGTGTTTAATGCCAAATGTTACCCAATTTATCCAGTTATCCATGCGATTCAGTGAGTGTTTAGGGGTCTTAAGCTGAAAATTGGTTCACATGAAGACTGGTTTGTTAGTCCAAGGGCTACAATACTGAAGTCTTTTAATATATTGATACAAACATCTTTAGGAGTCAAAAATGAAGAGTGTCATAATATGACATTAAATATAAATGTATTACATTTTTTAAAATCTGGGAAACAGAGCTACTGTTTTGCCATTTTATCTGGCTATATAGGCCATGTTGATATCTCTGCAATAATGTTAGGGTTACTATTAACATTGCTTTGGGAATGTTGTGGAGAGCACTTGCATGGAGAACATCAAGGATCAGCCAAGCTGTTCATTCTGTGGAAAGGCTCTGTTGTTATATAAAAGTACCAAAACTCTGGGCAGAGGCACCTCTCCTCCCCCCCCCACCACCACAGCGGGGCCCAGGCCCTGCACTGGACTTATGGATCCTGCCATATACACCCCATGTGGGATTCTTTCTCTGTCTCAGGTACCCTGAGAGGGTGAGGAAGTAAGACCAACATATCTGGTTGCCTAGAGTAGTTGCTGGACATCCAGCACTAGTACCAAGGAAAAGCTGTAGTAGTGGCAGGGAGAGTAAAGTAGTGTGGATGAGCAGGTCCTGCCCCTAGTTGTGACAGCACCTTGATGTAGGGTGCTGTCTCAGCCTCCCTTGTGTAGGCACAGAGCCAGCTTTCTCCTCAGCCTGGAGTCATTGGTTTCAACATCTGCAAGGAACCCACTGAGTGCCACAGTTTTGCACATCTCTCCAAGTCAGGGAGACTAGCCCCAGGAAGGATCTGCAGGGCTTGCCTAAGATCAGAAGCAGCTGCCCTATTTCTGGAAGTTGCTCTTCTGCTGAGTGTACAGACACTATTAAAGTAGCAATAACAAAGTGGGACTACCTCAAAATCATGAAACTTTGATGGCAAACAAATATACTTGAAAAGAAGGCTGTAGCATATTTGAGTCTTTACAATTTGAACTTTACTAAGACTAGCATAATTTTTGCATTTTTAAAATAATTGTTATGCTGCTTGGATTTTAGATTAACTTAGCCCTGCCCCCGCCCCCAAAGAATCATTGTTACCTATAAAGAAAGGATCTTTTCATTCCAATCTGATACGCATTTAGGCTTTTTATGTTAATACGATAGATCTACATGCATTTCATGATCTTCCAGCACTACTGTTAAGAAAGTCGTGGGGAGGGCTAAGTGCATAAAAACGTAGGCCAAAAAAGTTTATTGTCATTGTTATTAACAGGCCATTGGTGTTCCTTTTGTTGACTTTTACTACAGTAAGCTCACTCCACGTGCTGGCATTTGCACAGTAAATCTATCACCCACTAAAATAGCCTGGAACACCATCATTTCCTTTTAATTTTTTTTCAGTTTGTAAACAAAGATGTCACAAAACGTTGTGGCTGAAAGTGCAGTTAAAGATGGTAAGACAGTCCTTTTCTAGTCACCAGCAAATGTTGTAGGCCATCTGTAGTCTGAGCAGTAGCTATGTGTCTGGCTCCAGGAGCTAGCTGGAAAAGTTTGTTGGGAGCAAAATGTCACTCCTTCATAAATGCCTGAAAAACAGTGCATGCAGAGCAATGTATTATGTCATTTTTTTAGAAGGCAAACAGAAGTTCATAAGGAAAAGGACATGAATAAGCAGACTATTAGGATTGGTATTGTTAATTTCCTAGTAGAAAACCTAATATATGAATGCTGTCTGCCTTTAAGCTAAACAGGTGAGGAAAGCCAGCATCTGAAAAAATTATTCTGTTCAAAGAAGTTTACACTATGAATAACTTCTAAAACTCCACTGTTAAGAAGTTTTACTAGGTTTATACTAGAAACACCAGCAGAGATAAAAAGCTGACAATCAAAATATGCTCAGATATATACCAACTTTGTGGTAGATGTGATGGACTATTTTAAGATGATGGATTTTTCTCAATTCATTTGGACCAATTCATCTTATTAAATGGTACAAAAACTTAACATGTTGACATTATTGTCAAGCTCTCTGGCTTCTAAATTGCTTCAGCTAATCATTTTCTTCTGACCTGATGGCAAGGCGGTAGACTTGTGACAACTTCAAGTTACATTATAAGCTTAATTCTATGGGGGAAATGTATTTTCTTGATTTGCCAAAACAAGAGATTCCACCATGATTCTAAGATAACATATCTACCTTTTGATTTTATGGCACGGGGGGGGGGCAATGTACCTACTCCAAATATTATACTTTTCAGCATGCCTCATATTTGACCATGTTGGCTAAGGCTTGTTGGGAAGTGGAACTGAGTAACTGACTGGGAGCTATAGGTTATCCACCTATCAAAACTGCAACAAGGAAGAGGGAAATTTAAGAACTCTTTTTTGTTTACTTCTTAAAAAATAATTGTCTTTTCTTAAAAGTTCATTGTGGCTAATTATCATAAAGCACAATGAAATTTATTTTTTTTCATTTGCTGGGTGTTGAATCCAAGGCACTATGAAATATTTACAGCAGCTGAAATCAATACAAAATTTAAAAAGTCTCTAACTACACTGCTCAGTGTTAGAATGGCAGAAACTATAGCTACAAGGCAAAATCTCACAAAATGATCAAGCATTCTGTTTTCATATCCTTCTCTTTCCCAAGGTTTGAGGTAGGCAGTGTCTTTAATATTTCAAACTACAGGGAAAGGGGAGCACCAGTTCCTTACCTAGATCTTTTAGCTTCACTTTGACCAAATGGAAAACATGAATTGGAAGAAGTACAATCCTGCCATGTTTATAGAACTGTTCTAGCCTGTTTATCTGGGAAAAAATTGAAGCTTTTCATAAAAGAAGAACATGATATTATCATAGGATGATCAGAAAACTAAGCAGGGTTGATGTA